GTCCTCTTTGCAACCCATTTATCAGGTTATTTATACATTTTCTTGTGGACTTATGGCTCCATCAGTCTGCTACCTGTCCTAACAAAATTGCCAAACATAGGGGGGAAAAAACATAAGTTAGCAATAATATCTGTTTTATTTTTTTTGTTGTCCACTATATCATGCAATTTATTATATAAAGAAGGCTATAGTACTGTATAATGACCATTGGGTGTTTGGTGCCATTGTGATCTGTATACTCCTGGTGAGGAAATGTCTCCTGTTTTCAGGTCCATTCAAATCATCATTTCTCTCCCGTTCATTGAAGGACACAGGCAACAGATCGTAGATCCTGAATGGTAGGGTAATATCGCCACCTGCAGGAGAAGGACGCTAGGCACAAAACTAAAGACCAATTACAGCCTAGGGGCGGCCCCTGCCGGTGGCCAAACCCCCCACCTGCTGACAAGTCTCCAGTTTTTTGCCTAGCGTCAGGAGTAAGGAGCTAAAAAATTTTCTCTGGAGAATTTTTTTCCTTTCTTCCGTTTGACTGGATTTTCTTCTAGCAAGTGTCCCCAGGGCGACAGGCTGGATGACTGTAGATCCTTGTAGTCTCCCCTGGGTGACCGACGAGCGCATGCAGACTCTGCTACGGTGGGTCGGCTGCGAGGGGTGGTCCTCCCCGACGCCTCATGGGATTCGTCCCGGGAGAGGGACCTTTGACCGGGGGCTCCGGCCCACCGGACGCTGCCGCATGTGCAGTTTGGGACGCATAAGAGCAGTCGTTCCGCCAAGGTGTTTCCTTGCATCTCCTTTTTTGATTCATTTATAAGGAGTGGAAACGGCCTTCCAAGTCCTTTGGGCTGTGGCGCTTTTGCGGTCCCTGTAATCTCTCGGGCGCTCTCATGCGTCCGGTCTTGGCTTCGGCCTTGGTCTCTCAGACTCGGAGTGGGCTAGAATGTTACATCAGGGTCAGCGGGAAAGGGTTAGGACCTCAGCCAGCTTTAAGCCCTCATTCACACCTGAGCGATGCAAAATAAGCAAGTTTTTGTGTTGCACATTTTGTCACGCGACAAAGCACGTTTTTGCCATTTTACCACACAGACTTTGCAGCGCTACAGTGTGCGATATCTAATGGAAAACGGTCCTTGATGTGACATCAATTCCTGTTCTGTGTTTCCTGCTTCTGTGGAGACTGTTCCTGGAATTTAGAATACCTCAGCACAGCGAATATGATTGATCTACATAGGTTGAAGGGCCTGGTATGAAATTGGAAAGCGGGGGACACACAATTGTTTTGGGTTTGTTTGTTTTTTAAGGGCCCCCCTTGCTGACATCCCTACCAGACCAGAAAGGCCTGGTATGATTTTTAGAAGGGGAGGTGGGGCACACACACACACACATCCACACACACTTTCTGTACTCTCCAAATGATATGAATGCAGCACATGCTCACCATTGCGATCTTTGGTGAAGCTGCTTAAACTGTCTCAATCAGGACACATCTGCTTGTAAATGCGGTGCCAAGCTGAAGTCTCTCTTCCCCGGTGTTTGTTGTCTGGGTGACAGGTGTCATATTAACAGGTTTCCTCCCTCGCAAGACGAATCAAAGTCTCGCTTTCTGTTAATAGGAGAGTGCTGTCCTTTATGATGGCCACAATTACAATTATTTATATAACGCCAGCATATTCCACAGCGCTGTACAATCGTTTAGACAAGACAAGTAATAGACACTGACAAGCATTGTTGACATATAGGGGGTGATTTACTAACCTAAACACACGCACGCACCAGGTGCGTGTGATTTTCACACAGCAAAACGTATTTATCAACCAAAAAGTCTCTAAAAGCATATTTCCACTAATGCCATATATGGAAAAATCATGCACATGATGCATATATAATGCTGCTTCACAGTTTAGACAAAAATGGTTAGCTCATACATTTACATTCCTGCATTCATTAACGCAAGCAACACAACATAGAGCTCATTTACACAACATCACCTTGTAATTCATGCAAGGCTTTGCACAACACACCTGCTGGGTGTGTACACACTACAAAGGTGTTTAGATTCCACCCATAGATCATGCTGGGAGGGAACACACTACAGAGGTGTATACATGTTCGTGGTGTGTTTTATAAGTTTAGTAAATCAACCCCATAGAAACAGTAGGTGAGGAGGACCCTGCCGAAATGAGCTTACAATCTAAGGCTGGGTTCACACCTAGGCGTATCGAATATGCGTGTTTGTTGCGCGTTTCTACCGTGATTCGCGGTAAAAAAAAACACGCGGCAAACGCGCTTTTCCCGAGGGATACCTGACTGTATCCCAATGGATACGCGCGGAAAATACGCCCCAAAGAAGCTCCTGTACTTTTTTGGGCGTAGGGCGTTTTGTAGCGTGTTCATACGGCCTGTAATACGCCCAGGTGTGAACCATACCCATAGGAAATAATGGGATTTCGGTGTTTGAGCATTTTGCAGAGCGTAGGAACGCGCTACAAAACGCCCAGGTGTGACCGGGGCCTAAGAGTGAGGAAAGGGGGATAGCTCACAGGAAGGGGACGAGTTGATCTTTTTTGTTTTGTCACAGGAATCTCTGTCTTCACACATGGGACACTTGTGAAGCGCGTTTTATGCGTGACAAAAACGGGCAAAATCCATTGAAATGCCAAATTTTGTGTGATGCCATTCAAGTCTGTGGGGCAAAGAAGCTCTGAATCTGAATCCAATACACACTATTGGGTGTGATGACTCCAGAATCCTTAGACCGCTGCAGCAGAGAGGTAGCAAGGCTGGAAAACAAGTCTAAGAGCAAGCAAGCTCAGAGGACAGGTAACTTTTGTTTTATTTTGGTTTGTAGATGAAAACGGCACTTAACCCTTGCAGTGTGGGGGTAGTCCCACTGCAAGGGTTAATTTTAAATGTTCCCCGGACTTCTGCTTTAATAAATACAGTTGCTTAGGCTTGTTGTATTTGCAAACTTGCTAGATTTGTCTGCTTATATTAAACAAGCTAAGGCGTGCTTAAAAGTACACTTTCTTCCATTTCTTTCTTTCATAAAAATAAATTCCAGGGGACACGTAACCTGCCAGTGTGTCATTTTAATTTTATTTTGTTTGGAATACTCCTTTTGAGTTTGCACATTCAGGTTAATAATCTAGTGTTTCAGTATTTTAAATCAACATAGTTCAAAGCTTGTAGGTGAACAGGCAGAATGTAATCTGATAAAATTGTGTCTGACATGATGTTACACTTCACTAAGGCCGGTCCTGTGGTTTAAGATGGCATACAGCGTGGTGTTTAATGACACTTTGCTTACAGTCTGATCAAATGTAACATTGGCACAGTACAGACTATTGTGTGCAGTTGCTCAAATAAGCATTTAAATTTTGCTGATATTCCTGTTCTTTCCTTTTTTACTTTTAGATGTTCATACTTGATCTTATATCAAAGCAAATTGTGTCAATTAGACATTAATCCTCTTTGAAAGCATTTATATTGCTACACCCTTAGGATGTCATCCATCCTGTATTAGGCACTCATTCTTGATCAGATATTTTTTTTTTTATTTGATAGTACTACCCCAGTCAGCAAGATTAAGTGGTCTGTCGATTTTAGGTGGGGGGTGTTTAGAGTTTATATGGTCTCCCTTGTGTTTTGGGTTTTCTTTCTTTATATGGATAACAAAATATGATGGCTTTTTTTAATACCATGTAGATATGGAATATAAGGTGTTTGTAAAAATACACAGTGGCATTGCATTACTCTGTCAATATTTTAAAGTCACAAATGTCCCCCTCCCCCCAATGCTGCTTTAAAGACTTACCTTAGATGATGCCTCTTGATCCGATCATCTTCTTTCCAGTAGTTTTCAGGAGTCCCTCCAGCACTGGGGTCTGTCTCTGATCCAGCACAGACTCCTGTCTCTTTCTGTCCCACGTGTCTGTCCAACATGCATGCTCCCAGCTGCGTGCATTTACTTCCACTGTGCCTCTCCTCTTCTCCCCACCGAAGATCTCTACTGCGCATGCGCCCGCTCATCTTCCTGCACGGCCGCTCGAGAAGCTTTAGATCTTCAGGCGGCAGCGAGTGGCGGGGACAGAGATAAGTAATTACCTTTTTCGTAACTTAAATTTTATTTTAATTTTCATGTTTTTGAATATAACTTTAATTTTATTTTTTTTCATGATTTTGCATATATCTACTGCTTGCTAGCAGTAGATGTACGCAAAAAAACGAGAGTTTAATTGTACTTCAAAGCACAACTCCAGGCTTACACCACAAATTGACTCCCACTGGCTGTATGTTATGCTTTTTATGTCTTATTACCTTTTCCGAAGTCTTCAGGTCGGTCAAGTGATGCCATTGGGTACTCTTCTGTCCTCACCTGAGGCAAAGAGCAGCGCCGACATGACGGCAGTGCCTCTGTCTGCATTGATAACGCTGTAAATGAAGGGCTCCATGGTTATGCTCAGGGGGCGGGTCCATGACACCCTGCATTTACAGAGCAGTCCTCAGTGTTCCTGGAGTAAGTAATGCTGTACGTCGCACAACCTGAAGACAGGACTTTTTGTGGCCAAGAAGAGGTACTACGGACAGCTCTGGATTGAAGGTGAGTATTGCTGCTGGACCTAATGACTGAAATTTTATGCAAGCTTTAAAACCTATCTCTGGGGAAAGAACAAAAAGAACCCTTGCCGTGTGGGGGTAACCCCACTGCAAGGGTAACTGCGTGTTTATGTCTACGGAAGCTCTGTAAAATATATTTTACTTACCTGATTTCCCCCAGCAGTTGGTGCCCGCCTATCTCCCCTCCGGCTTGTGGACGGTCCCTCAGCATCCTATTGTATAATGCAGGGTCAGTGAGGGCTTGTTTCTGAAGCTCATTTGCTATAAATAATTGCTTATCAGTCTTCCCTTTTCTTAGCATCAACTTATATAGGCATTTGCATGACTCATTGGCTGACCTCAACATTGTGTTTTTTTTTTTTTTTTTTCTTGTTTTTTTCTTTTAGGCCCTATACGCCCATGATGGGTGCAATGTCCAACGTTTGGTTTGATAGATATAAAATCTCTATAGACAGCGCTGAGCACCTTGAATCCGTAGACTCCATGTGTAGCACTTTAACAGATTTAATCAGAGAAGAAACGGAATCTGGAATACAGAAAAACAGGATTCTATTGGGTAAGACCATGATCATCAGTTCTACTGTTTGGCCTGGTTCACACCTGTACGTTTTGTAGCGAGTTCAACGCTCTACGAACGCTCACACATGAAATCCCATTGTTTTCTATGGGTATGGCTCACACCTTGCCGTATTTCAGCCCATCTGAACGTGCTACAAAATGGCCTACGCCTGAAAAGGTACATGAGCTTCTTTGCGGCGTTTTTGTCGCGCGTTTCCATTGGGATACAGCCAAGTAGCCCTCAAACGTTTTTTTTTTACCGCGAATCACGGTAAAAATGTGTCGCGTAACGCGCATATTCGATACGCCTAGGTGTGAACAGAGCCTTTACATTGTCCAGGAGCTCACACCGTCAAGAGAAGACCAAAGTAAAAAGGACCCAGCATGCCACTTGACCAGCCAAAAGACATCATAAGCTTAACAAAAAGCATAATATGCTGCTGGAGGGCAAGGCTCAAGGTGAAAATAGGTTTTCTGGGGGGAAGGGGGGCAGCACAGAGCCCAGAGTTGGGCTTAAAGTAGAAATGCTGTAGTGAGTGCTTTGCCTGTAAAGCACATGCCTTCAGTTTAGTATTTCAAAAAGCCTTTATGAAAAATGTTCGGTGGGGATAGAGGGAAAATAAATAACCTTGACAATGTTTTCTGGTGTTACCTGAAAGCTGACATCTCCTTAGGTGCATCATTCTCCTTGCTTAACCTTGAAGGCCATTTGTGGGCTAGCTAGGCCGAGTACACACCTAAGAGCTATAGTGGCTGCTTTCTTCAGTATATAACTCCATATGTGGACAGCGCTGCATATGCAGATGGCAATTGTTTGTTTTTAGGCAATCAAAGGGAATCTGAGCTGACAAATGTTTACTTTCCCAGTATAGTGTTCAAGGGAAAGCAGGGGTGAGGAAAAGCTGAAAACGTGTAGCTAAATACATTCTTGAGTTGCTAGATATCAGAGGAGCTAAGGTGTGTTGAAAATGCACTTCTTTAAAGTGACCAGCTTGTGAGAAGATTTAGGGGTTGCCATTGTTGACCCACGTGCTTCAACTTTGAGTCACTGACCTGAAAAAATATGCAGATTCAGATTGTCAGAAAAAATTTGACAGCCCTTATGCAAATATATGTCCCAGATAAGTGGCTCAAAGTACCAGAACAAAAGTCAGGCAAACAGCATGTTCATAAATGGAGCTCGGCAATAGCTGTCTCCATATTTCTTTTATAATCTGTTCCTGTTAACGGCCTGTTGCTCAATCATTTTCATGATAGTTGTGTTTGGACTGGGCACATTTTCCCATTCATTTAAATAGTTTATGTACCCAACATGTTATCATTGGTACTTAATATTCTGGCGCCTCTCTCCTTACACCACCTTTGAAGCCAGTGACTAATATTGCCATATGAGCAAGATTGGGCTGTCAGGATTCCCCTGCAAATTATCATGTATTTAGAGATCATTCAGGTGGGATAGAAAAGGTATTTCAATGAATATGACGATGCCGTTATCTTACACTTACTGGGCTATATTTCTTTTGTAAATGATTGCCCTAAAATGATATTTCTACCTCCCTGAGGTGTATCTTATGAAAAGTGGTGGGTGGTCTGCTGCAGTTCAAGACTATCTGAATAACTGATGTGCTTTTCATTTATTTCCTTGTGTCACTGGTGTAATATCTGGACCTGTACGAAATTGCTGGGGTGCGACCTTTTATGTCTTTTGAATTTACAGTTGCCAGAGCTTTGCCCACTATCCTAAAATGTAATAGCCTGCTAGTGTTTGGGATTTGTGATGGAAACGAAGATACCTTCTGTTTTAAGAAGGTTCTACTGTTCTTCACAGTGGAGGACTTTTTGGTACCATTTCAAACACCTCACCATATGATGTCTGGTTATACTTTCTCATTGTAGCTGGCCCTACTTAATAGAAGCCATGGTTTACATACACTATACTGATGGTGTCCAACAACTGAAACAGCTGTATGTCGTTGGGAATAAATGGCTTTATAATATTAAGTCTTTTCTGTGCAATAAACCATCGGTTATTGATGCACAGTTGGCCAAGGAGCATAAAGGCATACATTATTTACTATATTAAATGAGGAATACCTGTAATTCTACCCTGAGCAACGAGGTCGGCCGGGGATGGAGTTGGTCAGCAACGAGGTCGGCCGGGGGTGGAGTTGGTCAGCAACGAGGTCGGCCGGGGGTGGAGTTGGTCAGCAACGAGGTCGGCCGGGGGTGGAGTTGGTCAGCAACGAGGTCGGCCGGGGGTGGAGTTGGTCAGCAACGAGGTCGGCCGGGGGTGGAGTTGGTCAGCAACGAGGTCGGCCGGGGGTGGAGTTGGTCAGCAACGAGGTCGGCCGGGGGTGGAGCAACGAGGTCGGCCGGTGATGCAGTTGGTCAGCAACGAGGTCGGCCGGTGATGCAGTTGGTCAGCAGTTTGTTTCCGCTTAAAGTTTAAGAAATGGCTCCCTGATGTGTAATACATCTTATGTCTCCATACAGTTTCTAGTTCAAAATGTACACTTTACAGAGTGGAAGTTATGGCAATTGTAATTTATATTAAAGCAGTTTTTTAGGTTCACCTTCTCCAAAATGATCTGTGGTTAAAAGGAAGAGCGCAAAATGAATTTGTACAAAACCTTATTTTGAAGGCTACTGAGGTAGCCACATATGGCTCCCTAGTCGTCGGTTGAGCACAACTACTTTAGCTCAACATTCAGTAGTTCCCTTCGTAACACTTACCACATTTTTTAGAGATCAGATGTGTAACTCGTAGACGAAAGCCTTATCCAAGCTGATTGGAATGAGCACATCGGAACAGTCTACCTAGTTCAGTGCTGATGTCATGAACGGTAAGAAAGAACTTTGGCTTCTGTCAGGAAATTACCTTCTGTTCTTGCTAAGACATTATGAAATGCGGAACAGTTACTTTTCATAAGATGGTAGGTCATTATTTGACCATTTTTGTGTGTCGTGCCAAGGAAGACACATATTACAGTTACCGTGATCGCACTTGCAAAAAATGAAAGCAATCCTTTTTTTCTAAGCATGTGTTTTATGCATCATGTCAATCGAGCCCCTGAAATGCGACCTCGGTGAATCATAAAATTTTGCCACAAACTATAAATATTTATTGAAATCACTGTCTGCAAAGAATTTACTACAGTCTATACCTTGGGACGGCAGTGTTATTGAATGATACGCTGCAGGTTTTTCCGTGGAAAATTACATTTAAAGAGGCTACAAGGTTTTTTTTGGGGGGGGGTACCCCCCCTTGTGCTGTCTTTGTGTTGTGTTCACCACATGAAAGTATCCTTGCTTAATATTCGATGCTGGAGGTGACTGCATTACAGAAGATTGCTAGTGAGTCATTCAGATTCTATTTGCCAGATTGTGACTAACTGGGTGTAAAATGTAACTTTTGGTTTTCTCCAAAGTAATGAGATTTCAATGGCTTGATTCGATGAAACGTCTTATGCAATGTCATGCATAAAAAATATATGCGATAGAGTAGAAAGTGAGAGCTAATGTTATAGTATTACATTACATTACATCGTCTTCTCTCGCCCTCTCTGTGCCCTCTGGCATCAGAACAGCAGAGGAACAGCTTGTCTATAAACTGGTGTAGGAAAAGAATGGTGATTTGCTACAGTAGGGTAAAAGCTTACTTCATCTTTCACCTTTTTTTATTTGTTCAGTTGGCAATAAAAACGTAAGGAGCAAGTCAAGGCAACACGCAGAGCCGGTAAACTCCCAAATGCTGTCCTGTATATGCTGTTGGTGTGCTAATGTCTAAAACCACATGCAGTCCATTTTAGACGCAAACATGTGGCCCCAGGTCCGGCCTTTCACTTTGGTCTAGGATCCTGGGCTCTCCAGTAAACACATGGCAACCAGAGCTGCATGGTTCAGCCTGCATCCTCCCAACCCTACACCTCTCTAATGACCACCAAATGCAATGGGTGGCCTCACTAGCAAGTACAGAGCACCAGAAGAAGATGGCAGGTCTGAGTGTGATGATGCCAACTGTTTTTTTGTTTTTTTATTTGCATACAACACCTTGCATAGTCTTCGACCACAACCACATTTTTGTTGTTACAACCTGAAATTTAAAATGAATTTAGTTTTACCATAAGGAGCTAATTATATTTATACCTAGACTGGTGATGTCACCGCCCCTCCCTATGTGACCGTGCTTAAACCTGTAGTAACTGTGTGTTGTTGGGGTACAGAGTAAAAAGTTTAGCACCACGACCCTAAAATACTATGATGCATCAAAAAAAGGAATTTTTTTTAGTATACTCGTGTAGTAAGATGTTAGAACACGAAGATGACTTAGAAGATGACTGATGTTGTGGACATGGAATAACTATTTGTTTTTATTATGTTTTTATATATTATTTTTTTTTCTGCAGGTGGGTTTTCGATGGGTGGAGCCATGTCCATGCATTTGGCGTATCGTTACCATAGAGATGTTGCCGGGGTGTTTGCTCTCTCTAGCTTCCTCAATGAAAATTCAGTTGTTTACAAGGTAATTGGAATATGCTCCTAATAGTGACCAAAGATCATGATCCGCAAATAATGAGTACAAAGTAATTTCTCAGTTTGGTACACAGAGACCTAAGATTATTACCCTTTATGACTGATTTTGGTCATATTGGACATTGACCAATATGCCTGTTGAAGACTCATTCAGCGGTATAGTTTTTGTGCTGCATGTGTTGGTCATATGGAGAGAAACTGTTTGCTGTCCAGCAGCAGATAGGCTCATCTTTGGCAGTGCCCAAGATAAACTCTAAGCACCATTAATACAATGTCAACATGTGTGCGCATTTAGTCCTTCAGTCTGAACTTGTGTGCGGCTGGTGAGCAAGAGATGGTTGATATGATCAATACCTGTAATGATAATAGTGTTCCTTTCTTTTTTTTCAGTTAATCCAGGCTTTGTTTTATTTTTCCTGATTTGCATGCAGACCGAGCTGTGCAGCAAAAGTTGCAGTTACAGGGGTTGAAACAAACCATATAACACTACAAGGGGGCTTACAACTGTCCGCTTTTATCAGTGTTGAAAATAATTATCTGATCCCCTGCAGATTTTGTAAGTTTGCCCACTTACAAAGAAATGAAAGGCCTATAATTTTTATCGGTGTATTTTAAATAATAGAGACAGAATATCAACCAAAAATCCAGAAACTTATTTTACTCACTGAACTGCAACTCAATTTATAACATTTGTATCATAAGTTTATTTTTATTTATTCTGGATTTTTGGTTAATATTCTGTCTCTATTATTTAAAATACACCTATGATAAAAATTATAGGCCTTTCATTTCTTTGTAAGTGGGCAAATCTGCAGGGGATCAAATATTTTCCTCGCTATATGGTTTAAACCTCTTCTTCTTTTTTTCAGTTGCTAGAACTGTTTAGAGTCATCTTGCCCATTCAGGGCAAAGTGTCAGTTTCTAATTTAATCCCCCAAGACCAATACTATGCCCAATCTCCTTCAATGGCCAACATTGCAGTGCTTTCAGAAATGGGAGAATATGGTACCTCTCATAATGCAGTGCTCAGGCCTATTGGGTAGACCCAGTCACTTTTGCCTGAATGGGCAAGGTGACGGTTTCTTTAAAAAAAAAAAGTGGAAGGCCTCATTCACACTGGCAGTGTCGAACCTGCATTTTAGAGCACATTTCTAAACACATAAATGCATGTAATTGATTTTTCAATGGTATTATTCAGACTTTACATATTATTCTGTGCGCACTAGATCCATTTGAGAAGCTTTTAGGAATATCTGGGAAGCACAAAGGTTACATATACTGTACTTCCCAGACAACATCTGTTTTTAGAAAAGCTAAAGTGCCAGTGTGCACACTAATGTGGGGAATGTCAGTTTCAACGAGGCCTTTCCTGGTGTTGGGATTTTTTTTGTTTTTTGAGTACCTAAAGTCCATTTAACACCTCAAGCAGACTGTGTAGTACAATGAGGGGTCCACTTGTAATATCTCTGTTCCCCTCCCCAGTAAAAAATCTCAAGCTCTTGGTATGTGCAAAAGGCCAGATTTTGTGAAAAGGTACTCAGTCTATTGCAAGATCCCCTTTTTTTGAGATGCTCTGCATTCCCAGGATCTTGCTGCAAGCCGTATGTCTTCACCCTCACCTAGGTGCCATGGACAGAAGACGGGGCAAAAGCAAGTATATACGTTTTTTGTTTTTTTTGTTTGTTTTTTGGAGCGGGGGCCCAGACATTTATAATGGTTCTTGCATTGTACTGCAAGGTCCGCTTGAAGTTTTAAATGGACTTTAAGTAAGTGATAAGCAAATTAAAGCTCAACTCCAAGACTAACCTGGAAAAATACTGGCAACAGATAATAAAACTTTTGTTAAAGTAGCGAGTTTGAAAAATAAAAACTGCTGTGTTAATGCCACTGATGGCTTAATCATATATGTAATTTTAGCCTACTTTTAACTTTGACAGGTACTCAATAAAACATGATATTTCAACCATTCTGTTTTGCCTATACTTTTTTTTTTTTGGTTTGGTTTTTCTCATCCATTAAAGGCCACAGAAAGTCCTAAACCTTTGGGTTATACTGCTGTCTACAGGAGGACTGAACACTGGCAAACAAGAAAAACTATAGGCCAGCCCAGAATATCGCCTCCCAATACCAGCATGCCTCAGTTTTATTTTGTCCTAGAAGAATAGACGTCTTCTTTTCTTATGGCTATATATAGCTCTGCAGTGCTAAGGCTAATTTTGTATTTTACCTAGATAGGCTAGCACCTTTTTTGCAATTTTATTTTTTTATTTTTTTTTTATCTATTAACCCTACATTGCTGCTGGAACTTCGTCTCTTCGATTAGCAGCTTTTTGGCGTGGAGTCTGGACCCTACTGGACGCACAGGGATAACTTAAAAATTACTCTCAGACACTAGGTTCAGCAGAGTGCTTACAAAGCTCTGTTCTTGTAAAAGTTAGCTGCGGAGCACTTTTCAAGTTCAGAGCTGTTGGCATTGCCTCAGCACTTGCCCTGTCTGTGAAGACTGCTGCGAACTGAATGCTGACGTCATCCTCTGTGTGGAATGTTGTTCCCTCTCCCACCATAGAGCGTTGAGGAAGCATCTCTCGGCTGCTGCTTCTACTTGAAAAGAGCCCCTACACCTGGAGGTGTTTCAGGACCTATATCATGGGAGAAGCTGGATATAGATCTTCTTGCCTCCAGGTTGAATAACAAACTGGATAGGTTTGTCTCCAGGTACAGGGTTTCTCTAGCAGAAGCAGTGGTATCATGGAATCGTTCCACTCTGATCTAAGCCTTTCCTCCCCTGAAACACCTTCCTTGTGCGCTTTGCAGGATTGAGCAGAAGGGCATTCCGGTGATCCTCATTGCTGCACTCTAGTACAGGCACATTTTTATGCACCAGCTTGGCAGATGCTCCATGAGCTCTACTGGATTGTCAGGATCTTATGCTCCAAACTGTTAAAGCCCAGGTTCTGAGGAACCGGAACATGTGACCCCGCTACAATGCTGAAAGCTAGGAAATCTACTTCTAGCAAAGATTTATCATTGGACATGGAAGGCATACTTCACAGTTTACCAAACCATTAGCAAAAACAATGATGTGCCATTTGTAGTCAGTAAAGATTCACAGAAGAAATTGTCCAAATATACTCTACCCAATACTTAGAGCCACCGTGGGACCCTTCAGCTGTCGGCTCCATATACTGAGAGGTGAGCATTTACGAACCACTGATCACTCAGTTCACAGCTTATTCCTACAAAGAGCGGTGACAGTTGGTCGCCCCTCTGCGCAGCGATTTCCCTGCTCCCCTCTCGGTTCCTCCAGTGTTTACTGGAGGGACGAGAGGGGAAGGGGTGGGCACAGCTGACTTTGGCTCTAGAGAGGCAGAGCCACCAGTTAGTGAAGTCTTGTGGCTTCCACCCCTGGAATTTCTCTGGACAAATTTTGGATCTGGACCAGCATCTGGCTGTCGGCACCATCATGGGTCTGGTTTCTGCCCTTTTCATTTAGACCGTTCCATTCCAGGAAATCAGAATCCACAAGGTTGTGTTTCTTGTAGCCATCACCTCTGCAAAGCGAGCATCTGAAGTAGCAGCCTTATGCTGCAAGGAACTGTTTTGGGGTCTCCATAGGGACTAGGTGGTGTTTGAGGCAGATTTGCAAAACTGCCATCTGGTCTTCTGTTCACACATTTTCCCAGGTAGATGTAAGGTCCTTTTAGGCAGCTCTTTGAGCTGAAGGCAGTTTTCTGTTTTCTTGGGCCTGTTAGCAGTTGTTTGCTGTGTCACCCATACCTCATTTGGACTGATTTTGGATGCCCTGAAGGTTGAAAACATTGTGTCCCTCAATGAACAAAGAAAATAGTTTTGTAAGTCAATTGAGAGTGGCAAGTCCTACCCCTCCTGTGTTTTATGATCATGCTCTCTGTACTGCTTTGCTACAAAATTGAGACATGCTGAGAGTGGGAGACGTTACCGTGGGCAGACCTACAGTTTTTTGTTTGCCAGCCCTCCTGTAGGTATAACCCAAAGGTTTGGGTATATACCCAAAGGTTTCAAAATTCAAATGCCCCTTTAATGGATGAGAGAGGATGTTATGGTGTCTACAAAAATTCTATTTTTTTTTTTTCCCAGGAACTTGAAGGCTGTCATGAAAGTCTACCTGAACTCTTTCAGTGCCATGGACAGTCCGACCAGCTAGTCTTTCATCAATGGGGAGAAAGGACAAACACTTTTTTGAAAGACGTGGGTGTTTCATCATCATTCCACAGCTTTCCCAATCTTTATCATGAACTCGGCCTGCAGGAAGTGGAGCAGCTGAGGTCTTGGATTTTAAAGAAGTTGCCGGATGACTCTGCCCAAACACAGTAATGCAAACCCTTTTTAAATAAATTTTGTATTCACATGTTAAACAACGGCTGTGTGTCAACTGTGTCTCGAAAGATAGTGCTTTGAAGCTGATGCCACCATATCTACATCTGTTCTTTTCCGAAATATACCAGACCTAATGGTGTAAGGGACTGAATGCTGCCTGTACTGTATTGCTTTCGATCCAAAGTTTACACAAGAAGGGAACAAAAAAAATATGCAGGGCCCTTTTGCTGAAGGCTCTTAAAGCAACTCTGTCACTTAAATAAACTTGCTAATAAAATAAGTATCTTCAAGAAAGTACTTGCCGCTAAACGACACACCACTGAAGAGAAATCGCCGACATCCCCCACACTGCACAGGGGTTCCTTCTGCCCTCCTTCACATCACTACTGTGTCCTGTAGTGAAGTGGGGAGTCAGAGCGCTGTTTTAGTGGAATAAGCAGCAGAAAGGAGTATTTACTTTATGGGAACAGGCTTATTTTGTTTGTCACTTAATTAAAAAATATATATTTTTCTTGTGTGTCCCCATTTGTAGGGGTTTGCCCTAAAAGACATGAAGTCAGAAAAAAAAAACTCCCAAACTGGTACACAGGCAGCGATAAGACAGAAGTTTTAACCCTACCTCAATCTATCCAAAAGTTTTTAAAACATTTTGAGAGATTTCATGGAAGATGTCAGAATGTGGGGAGAGCACATTTGCAAATGTTTCTTTTTGATAAATTAAATAACTATCTGTGCGAGTTTGGAGGGGGGAAAAAAAAACATATCACCAGTGATTTTCAAAAACCATTTATTCATTTTGTGGCTTACCCTGTAGGCAAAATGCTGTCCAGAATCTGCACCCAACCTAGCATAAAGAACAATTTTTACTGCTCAGTGATTTAATACATTTGTGACAGGATGAATTGAATATACCCGTTTATTAAAGAGACCCGTGACCAGACCTTACTTTTTTTTTTTCTTGAAATCTTGCAGCAGTAGAGGATAATTAGCACTTGCATGCTTCTCCAGTATTTTAATGGGTTTTTTCCCATGTTGTGACCTGTGTAACTTAATTATGAATCTGGCCACGTCCTGGGAGTGTCAATTGCTATCTGTGTCAGCCCCTGCTCCTGCCCCCTCCACCCTGCTATGTAGGCAGACAGCAGAAGCCTGCACAGCTACTCATTAGCAAAGGGAACGGAGGTGACACCATATGATCCCTACCGTTATCTAATTTCCTGAAGGGCATTTAGCGCTGTACACCTCATTACACCATTATTCACGTTAGGAATTTGGGCAAGATCAGTGATTTGTTATTTGTGCAATTTATAAAGTAAGTGCCAGGTGGAGCAGAGTCCTTGGTGCACACAAATGCAAAGCAGGAGCTGATTGTAATATGTGCAGTGTGGAGGAGTTGTCATTGTTGCCACTATTCACTGCTCTGCTTTTTGCCTCTCCTTCCCTATCATCCGATAAATGAGAGGGTGTTTAGTAAACCTCAAACATAAATGATAGCAGGGAAATCCTAACAAGTGTAATTTTGAGTGAGTGTTCCAAGTCTGCTTGGGGCTGCTGATGTTACGTCCATGAAGGTGGCATCCAGTAGAAAACTTGAGATTGTTTGATATATTTATATAATTTTGGAGAGAAATAAATGTAAAACTGTAATTTGGCATACAATAATTTAATCCTATGAGAAGATCGTATGGGGACAGGGTTTCTATGTGATTTTCTCTATCTGGCCATTTTTGGTCAGGTCAAATGACCATCTCATAGCTATGTAGTTAGTAGCCAAAAGCACTATCAATTACTGTTCTCTGGACACAAATGATCAGAAATGTTATAAAAGCTTCCCAATTGCTATTTACCCCAAATATCTGCACCCCCACTGCCTAAAGTGAAACAACTGTCCAATCAGATCACTCTTTTTTTGGGGGGGCAGAAACTGGGTCTAAAGTCATTGTGATGTAATGAAGTGTACAGCGCTAAATGCCCTTCAGGAAATTAGATAACGGTAGGGATCATATGGTGTCACCTCCGTGTCAAGCAATCGTGAAAAAGTGTATAAATAATATTTGTGTAAAAACTTATAATACGTTATAAAATGTGTCATAAAAAGCATGTCATACATGAACCTTATTAAATAAATAAACAAAAATTTTCAAAGAACATGTGTCATATATGTGAAAAAAATATTATTGTGAAAAAATATTAAATAAATAAACATGTCATATATGTGAAAAATAAAAATATCACAATATAAAACAGTCTGTGTTTTCTTTTGAAAATAAGTAGAAGTATGCACTTATAATATAAAAAATGCACCCAAAGTTCTTAAAGCTCTCCGATCTTCAAAACAAAAAAGCCCGGAAGAATGAGAATCAAAATCAAAAGAAATGTCCAATATTGTGAAGTGTCCAACGAAAAAACAATAGAAGAAAAAAGCAGGCAGGTCCCCTCTAGGGAATGCACTCACCAGATCCCTGATGGTCGAAAGCCTTTATTCTTATCCAATGGAGGCCGAAGATGTATGTCCTCTTCTCCCGTTTGGTGAAAGCCTCAGGCTACAGAACCCGCTTGCTTCTCCGAGGTGAAGGGATTACAATCTTTGTTGTTAGGTCTCCTCTATTGGGTATCCATCCGGACAAAGAACACAAGAAATGCGCTCATAGCGTAGTAAGTTCAACTTTAATGGGTCCAAAATAATAAATACAGACAAACAAGCGCTCTATAAAAATTCCATAAAAATCAATGTGGAAAGCCGGCTAATCACTCAATCTGAGTGCAAAAAAGGACTGGAACAATGTAAAGGTGGGCCCGCCCCAACGCGTTTCGTCACATGGACGTTCTCAAGGGATGACAGGTCCCAGGTTTATTATATATACACTTTTTCACGATTGCTTGACACGGAGGTGACACCATATGATCCCTACCGTTATCTAATTTCCTGAAGGGCATTTAGCGCTGTACACCTCATTACACCATTATTCTGTAGGCTTTTAGCCTGAGTTCAGCAGCTTTTTTCCTTTTAGAAATTTTAGCTCCGGGGTCATATTAATTTTACATTTTAATCCATCTTAATTTAGTTTTACTATTTCCATTAGCGCAAGTTAGTTTGGTTCACACACTAAAGTCATTGTGAGTCTGAACGTACTTACATGTCCAGCCTTTTACTGATGTCTTTTGGCTTTAGAGGGGATTTTTTACTACAGCCTGTCTCTTTATACAGTTAAAGCACACTTGTCATCTCAACTATAATTTACATTTTAATCCATCTTAATTTAGTTTTACTATTTCCATTAGCGCAAGTTAGTTTGGTTCACACACTAAAGTCATTGTGAGTCTGAACGTACTTACATGTCCAGCCTTTTACTGATGTCTTTTGGCTTTAGAGGGGATTTTTTACTACAGCCTGTCTCTTTATACAGTTAAAGCACACTTGTCATCTCAACTATAATAAACTGGTAGGACTTCCCAATAGCAAGTACTCCCAGTTTACCAAAGCATAAGTTCATAAACTTACTCTACCCTTGGTTGACACAACTCTTTCACAGTCTGTGGCTAAAGAGCTTTGTGGCTGTTGAGCTCCATGCACCTAAAGGATATCCTGAGAACCGAAATACAGTATAGGGATGCACCAATCAATTTTTTTTGGTATCGAGTACGAGTCCCGATATTTTATTTTCCGTACTAGCCGATATGAAATACCGGAAGTCCCATTTAGGGAGGCCGGGCGGCGTGTAATGACTCTCTGCTCAGCTTCCTAATTAGCCGGGAAACCGTCTCCATGCTCCCTCGTCACCAGGTAACGAGGAAGCATGGAGCCAGCTTTCTGGCCAATCAGGAAACCGGGGTACAAGGTAATGACTCGCCACCCAGCTATATGATTGGTCGGGAAGCTGGCCAATCAGTAAGCCGTGTGGCAAGTCAATACACGCTGCCTGGCTTCCTGATTGGCCGGGAAGCCAGCTCTATGCTCCCTGGTGAGGAGGGAGCATAGAGCCGGCTTCCTGGCCATATTGGGCGAGTACGACTACAACCCCCCTCTTATTGTAATAGGGGGACAATGCTGCTCTTTCATAGATGCAATCCAGTGATCATCCTGTCATCTTAGGACCGGAAATGTTGCTTATAGAGTTACCAGTTGAAAATTGAGGAACGTAAAATAGAAAACTAGTGTAGCTACCACATGTGAGTACTAAAGAAATGCAATATATAAAATGTTAGTTTACTAATTGGTATTGAGATTGTAGTCCATCACAGGAGTGAGCTTGAAGCGGTGCCTTTTTTACAACACACACAGGGGCCATGGGGAACAAAGTAGCCACCCTGCAGAAGGAAGGACAGTGTCAGCACCAATTCAGAGATAATTTGAGGATCTACAGCCGAGTGATGCACAAATAAGATCATCATTTTTTTTTATAGTTCAGGTACTTTTTACGTTTTTTTTAAGTTTTAACTCCTGTGTTTAGTGTCACTTTAAATAGGCTTTAGGTAATAAAGTAAGTGTAGGCTGCAAGTGTTAAAGACAGCTAAGACCTGTGAGGCAATTGACATTCTTGTGCTCTACAGAATTGCAACTCTTAGGCCCCGTTCACACCTTTACGTTTTGTCGCGCGTTCAACGCTCTATGAACGCTCAACAAAACGTACAAACATGAAAATCCCATTGTTTTCTATGGGTCTGGTTCACACCTTTCCGTATTTCCGCCCGTCTGAAACGCCCTACAAAGCGGCCTACGCTCAAACAAGTACATGTACTTCTTTGGGCCGTTTTGTAGGGCGTTTTACATTGGGATACAGCCAAGTAGCATATTCAATACGCCCAGGTGTGAACCCAGCCTAAGGCTGGGTTCACACCTGGGCGTAAGGAATATGCGCGTTTAGGCCTTAGCCTAAATGATAGTGTCTTCCACAAATCCCGGCTCAGAGGAATGGACTGTTGTGAACTGGTGTCGGCGCTGTATAAATGAAACAAATTATCCTATCTGGAGGAGTGATGGCTCAATTTAATTGGCC